ATCTCATTCCCTAATCCCTTCCACCCCAACTGACGCCATTCAATCAACGTCGGTAATCCTATCAACTCGCCCTTTCCATCTTACATTATCAGCTGTATACTGTCCTCCTGGAAATTCCCTTTCTCATGGCCTTCTTGATTCCTTATTCCAATCACTCGGATCACGCTTTATTGCTGGAGGAGACTACAATGCTAAACACCAACGATGGGGTTGTCGAACATCCATTTCCCGTGATAATATCCTATCTCATGTCTCATCGTCTAATAGTTATTCTATCCTCTCGCCCATGAATCCAACATATTGGCCAACATCCCTTAAAAAACGTCCTGATATCCTAGATATATTTATCACTTACCAGATTTCCTCTTCCCTGACCACAATAAAATCCCTGGATGACCTTTCATCAGATCATAGTCCAGTTCTGCTATTATTACATTCAAATCTCGTTCCTAAACCCTCACATCCGAAATTGATTACAGGACGAGTAGACTGGGACAAGTTTCGTTACGATTTGGAAAATAAACTGGACTTAAAAATTCCGCTTAAGACAAAACAAGACATTGACAAATCCATAGAAAAACTCACTACATCAATAGCTATTAGTATAAATGATAACACTTCCATCAATAAAAGCAATAACTCACGATATAGTAAATTGCCATTAAATATTCGAATCTTATTAAGAGAAAAACGCAGAGCAAGATCGAAATGGCATAGGACTAGATATCCTTCAGATAAAACTTACTATAACGAATTGACTAACAAACTAAAAATAGAATTTAGAAAATTCAAAACACAAAAATTACTTAACCTAACTGATAATCTTACAACTACTGACAAATCTCTATGGACAACCACAAAAAAGATACTAAAGTTTAAAGACTTTAACCATCCACTATTAACTGAATCCCAAACCTGGTCCAAATCCGATGAAGAAAAATCTCAACTATTCGGTCAATACCTCTTCCAAACCTTTAATCCACATCCTGATATCCTTAATCCACATCAAATTGAATGTATTGAAGCAGAATTGGATATTCCAATCCAAATGACTCTTCCACCTAAAGCATTTCATCCTTCGGAAATATCTAATATCATCAACAGATTACCTTCCCCAAAAGCTCCTGGACACGACCTTATCACTTCCCAGATCCTAAAACTTCTTCCTCGGAAAGCCATCCTATTCCTCACTTACATATACAATGCTGTGCTCCGATCCACATATTTCCCTGATTCTTGGAAAATATCTATTGTAAAAATGTTACACAAACCTAAAAAACCACCCGAACACCCATCCTCTTACCGTTCTATTTCTCTGTTACCTATCATGGGCAAAATCCTGGAAAAACTCATCCTAAAACGCCTGTATCCCATCCTAGACTCTAATCATATTATCCCTGATCACCAATTTGGATTCCGCACATCGCATTCCACTATCCAACAATGTCACCGTGTGGTTGATGTAGTCTCCTCTGCATTGGAGCGCGGTATGTACTGCACGCGAGTCTTTCTCGACGTTGAACAGGCGTTTGATCGAGTCTGGTACCCGGGTCTTCTGTACAAACTCCGAAAAGTCCTACCCCCTACATACTTCCTCATTATCCGCTCCTATCTTACTGATAGATACTTCAAAGTAAACCAAAATAATGTCTTCTCATCCCTCTTTGCTCAATCTGCAGGCGTTCCACAAGGTAGTATCCTCGGTCCCATCCTCTACACAGTTTATACAGCTGACATCCCAACCCATCCTGACACTGTCATCACCACTTACGCTGATGACACATGTTTGCTATCTGTTAATAACGATCCTTTAATTGCATCCCAAACTCTTCAATCACATATCACAAGCCTTGAAGAATGGTGTAAAAATTGGAGAATAAAAATAAATTCCAACAAATCCCATCAAATCACCTTTACCCTCTGTCGTAAACCTATGACGTCTTGTCCTGCAGTAACTTTCAATAATACTCCACTTATTCCTGTTGAGCAAATCAGCTACTTAGGACTCCATTTGGATAAACGTCTTACTTGGAATCCTCATACTAGACTGAAACGACAAGAAACTGCTCGACGTTTCCGACTGCTCCAACACTTATTAGACAAACGCCCCAAACTTTCTATTAATTACAAAAGACTTATCTACATAACTATAATAAGACCTATATGGACATACGGAGTTGAGCTTTGGGGCTCCACCAAACCATCGAATTCCTATCGTATCCAATCCTTACAATCCAAAATCCTCCGTAAAATCCTTAATGCTCCATACTTTGTCACAAATAAAAAAATTCATAAAGACCTTAATGTACCATATGTCGCTGATTTAGTTCGAGCCAGATATCTATCCTTTCATGATAAACTTCAGTCCCATCCAAATCCGCTTGTTTCTACTCTTGCTTCTTTCTCGATTCCTGATAATCCTCCTAGGCGTCTGAAAAGGAGATGGCCTCGTGATCTTCTTACTTAAAATTATTTAGCGAGTGCTACCACTGGGTAGTAACTCTTCAAGCCTGTACATGCCATTATTTATATTTGCGCTTATTTACTTATTTGTATGCGCTTATATTTATATTTATATTCAGTTGTAAATTCCATTAAATAAACAAAAAAAAAAAAAAAAAATCTCTCCTCTTCAAACACCTACTCCATTCCCAATCCGGTTGATCATGAAATGCACTTAAAAATCTAAGTCGTAAGAATCTCAAAGTACTTTGACTATTTTGGGATTTATTGATATTTTGTTTATTTATTTTACTTTCTCTGTTTATTTTATATTTATGTACGTTTTCATATCTTTTCATTATCTGTACTTTTATTTTATGGACACACCAGAATGTTAATATATATTCTGTATTTATAATCTGTTCTAAAGGGACACGAGTCCCAGAATAATAAAATTATTTTCATTCATTCATTCATAATTATGTTTAGTTTCAGGGCATTAGAACATTCAGGCATAGAAAGTAGGAGGGCGGGGTGGCCAAATGGACTAATGCATGTGCACAGCACTATGAGTTGCCCGGCAACCAGATAACCGAAGCTTATGAGATTAAAAAAAGTACGAGTTCGCGTCCCAGTGCCAGAGGGGATTTTAAATTCCCCGCCCTTGCTCTCTGGCCCGGGAAAATCCTGTATAGGCTAAAAGGCAAGACAGCAAAGAACGAAAAAAAAATAATACCCAGAAAGTACTTACTATATATATTTATTCGCTTTCAGGGTCTCTTTAATATAGCCAACACCAATGCCCTGCCGCCTGCAGTTGGACCATTCCTCAAACGAATGTGCCTGTTTTGATCCTTGAGTTACTGGTCTAATATTTATCAAATCAGCCATTTTATAAGGTAGCAAGATCCGACTGGCACTCTTATTTTTTAAAAATATAAATGCTACAAACAAAAAAAAAAAAATGCTTTCACGGTTTTCATCAAATAATGTGAATTTTTTCTCACAGGCTCTAGGACTAATACTGCTCTCAGTTCCTAAAGGTTAGAAGCTGCAAATGGTGGTCAAAAAGCCTTCTTTGTAGCGCATCCCACATGTGCTAAATAGGATTAAGATCTGGAGACAATACCGGAAAGGGCATTTGTGAAATATCCAAAGTTTCAAGACATTGATGAACAATTTTTCCCTTATGAGGTCGTGGGTTATTGTAAAAAAAAATGGAAATATGTGCCAATTAAGGCCCTGGTTTGAGGAATGTATTCCTCTATTATTTCTTGAACATAACGAACAGCAATGAGATTATCTTCCACAATACAGAGTAGAGTACGTCCTGAGTAGATATCAGCCCACACCATCACACCCCCACCTCTAGACTGCATTGAAGGAAGCACAAACTGTGGCAGAGTACCCTCCCTCCTCTGTTCTCAGAAGACTCTTTGACACCTACGATCGTTGTAAAAATAGAAACAGGAGTGCTCAGTAAACATAACAGCATTTCAATTGGTATCCTCATCTAGGGGCTCGCTGCACCATAATCTGTGGAGTTGCTGGTGATGCACAGTAGCTGCAGGTCCTCTTAAAGAGGGTTGAGATGTTAAACCAACTTCTCAAAAATGATTAGGAATGGTTTAAGCTGATATGGGCCCTTGGCAGACCATCAGACTATTCATTTAGGCTCTGTCAGGCACCAGAAAAGGATTGCTTTTTGCATTAATAACAATATTTCTGTCATTCCTTGGTGTCATAATGTGCTGAGATCCACTAACAGGACTTCTATTGGTACTTCTGGTTTCTCTGAATCTGGCTAAAACCCCGGAGACCATAATTTGGGAAATGCCAAATGCATCGTCGATATCCACTTACATTCTCACAATAATATTGTGAACTTTTGTTTCAATATATTGTTTTTCCATCTTTAAACAGAATATTAATGGATTCAAATTGAGAAAAGTAAAAAACTACTGTTGATTTACACAATGAGTATTCTTCATGTCGACTATCCTTTGGTTAATAATTTATTAAAAATAAAGAATACTTGTTATTTACTTTATATTTTTACCTACAAATAAGAGAATCCTTAACAAAAAAAATCAAAAAGGGTATTTTAATTCAAATAAATCAAATAGAAGTATCCCTATTCATTTTTGAGCAGTAAATATGTAAAAAATGAATAGTAATTATAAAAGATGGTTTTGAAACTCTATCACCCTTTACTAGTGATATAGGTATGTCATTGCCCCAAGTCCGGATGAACGGAAAGAGTAGTGGCTGGTTTGGTGTGAACACAGGGCTAACAGAGGGTGACGCACTGGTACCACTATTTAATCCAGTACTGCACAGAATCGTTATCGTTTCCTTAATTTAATATGAGAAATATACATAATCACATTTTTATTACAACCTGTGTTTTAATAATCATACAAAAGTAAACAACTGAATTAATATACGATTAATTCAATATATAAATTTTTAACTTTTTCAACCACGTACATGACAGTTTTCCCCACATAAATGAGCACTACCCTCTTCCGTTAATTATACAATATATGACACAGTGATCATTCCATTACATAATCGGGAAAATGTGCAGGCAGCTTGGTAGGTCTACTTGATAGACGTAGAACCTGTTCTGGAGGAATTACGTTAGGAGGATCAGTGAGTGTCTCCTCAGGTACTGAAGGCGGAGCTTGAAGTTCTGTAGGCACAACTTGAGGATCTGGAGGCGGACACTGAAGGTCTGAAGGCGGGAGCTGGAGGCCTGGAACAACCCGATTGTTGGGTGATTTATATCTGTAGGTGGTTGAACTTGTCTCCCACCTTCAGCTTTGAATCCGCAAATGCGAGAATAATAAAGATGATAATAATAAATATAAAGAGAAACAAAAGATGTAAAATAAAATTTTATAAAATAATAAAGAATCGGCAGAGGACCATTAGTTGTTGTTTAGTTAAATATATTTCATAATGGTTTCTTTGAAAAGGAAATTGATAACTTTAGTCACTCCCATCCCTGGGAAGCTAATATATTAAGGGGTATTATAAATTCTTTAAAATCTTCAGATGTAAACCAGACATTCTTCTAAAATATGGTTTACAATCAATATTTTGTCACCAGGGAATGAAATCTATTGTTATAAGGTGGGGGTTTGTCAGTCTAGTAAGACCGATCCTCAGTTGCATTAAGAAAACTTGCATGAACATAGTTTTTGTAAATGATATTTGATCTCAGAAGGATGAACTGCTTTTGGTGGTAAAGAAAGTGGAATTGGTGAGCAAAGGAACTACTTTTACAGTGTGGATGGGATGGGATTCAGGATGAGGAATAAATGTACAGGAGAGGTGTTTGCTGAATGCTTCAGCTTTGTCTTCATCAGACGCCACCCAGGAGCCATTATCTCAATGGAGGAATGGGAAATATTATGAGAATTTAGGATTTTTTGGTGATATTACAGAGGTTATTGTCGTGAGCGGAGAGGGCGGCAAGGTAGGAGTTAAAGGATTGGGATTTGAAGTTGGATAATTCTTCCTTAACTATTCAGATTTTGTTTCCAACATTCCACTGTTCAACAAGGACTCCGAGTTGTTGACCTCATATCCTTAGCCTTAGAAAGCAAAGAGTATTGCTCGGGAGCATTGCTGGACATCGCCATCCTATATTCCAATTCAGTTCCTGAATAGCATCCTTCAACTTACAAAGTCACCTTTCTCTTATTGAACACTGGTGTAATAAGTGGCATATCCAAGTAAATTAATACAAATCTTAACATATCACTTTTACCCTTCGGCGCTAGTCCTGTCCACCACTCTATTTCAACTCCATACTTCTTCTTCTCTCCAGCACAGATCTGTACCTTGGCTTCTTTTTAGACAAAAGACTAACATGGAACCCACATACCAGACTTAAAAGACAACAAGTTAACAGACGATATGGACAACTATATAGACTAATGAATTGAAAATCTCAACTTTCAGTTGAGAACAAAATATTAATCTACAAGACAATCCTGAAACCAATTAGGACCTATGGACTAGAACTGTAGGGGACAGCAAAACCTTCTAGCATCAAACACATTCAATCCTTTCATCAGTCTAAAGTCCTCTGAGCAATAGTTCATGCTCCTTTCTTTGTAATCAATAAAACCCTCCATAATGACCTTCATATCCCATTTCTTCTTGACCCAGTCCCAGATAAATTTTCCAAATTTCACTAGAAACTCACAGATCATCCAAATCCTGTAGCACAATCCCTATCTAGCTCCAGCCATACCAATCATCCTCCCCAGAGGTTAAAATGGCAGTGGCCCCGCGACCTTTTGTAAATATGTATATATTGGAGTACTGGCAATGACCAGATTCTCCACTCAAGTCCTGAGCGTCTGTTGCTATAGTGCCCTCCATCAGTCTCCACTGGCTTCCAGTGACGCAGTTGGGAGAGAAGCACTGGAATCTCCAGGAGTCCTGCTGTGGCCTCCACATTTGGGAGACAAAGCATGACTCAGAGTCCCCTGGACGAATGTAAATATTGTATATAGGTGTGAATGTGTTTTATCTATTTTAATTTCATTTAGTTTCTATCTATTATTTAATTTTTTTTTTGTACATAGTATGTTATTTTCTTATTTTATTTTCTAATTCTTTTTGTTTATTATCTCTATTTTAGTTATCATTTGTATGTACATATTGTGTGAATGTTTAATGTAGCCCTAATATTAATGCCCTCCAATGTGGCAGAATGTATTAATTTTCAACTAATAAAAAATATATATATTTATACACACACGCACCACTTTTGCCAATCTTGGACTCTCCCTCCCAATGTACAGCAATTAAGTCTGTCTCATCTTGGTTTTAATATAACCAACAATTTTTTTTTTTTTTTTTTTGTATTCTATGTGGTCTGTAAACCAATCATGAGTAATTCATATACATCTGATTCAGATCACAATGTGTTCAATACAAGGAACAAACAATATTTAATTGAACTAAATACAATAAAGAAATCTTGTAATCTAAATAATTATTATGAAGTTATTATACAAAAAATATACAAACTAATTTTCAATAATGATGTAGCGATGGTTGTCCGTTGATATAATATGAGAAGGAGTTAGTCGAGGGTGTGGTCAAATAAATAATAAATTAAAATATATTAATTATTTTAATTTTTGCCGACGTTTTGACCCACTTTGCAGGTCGTCTTCAGGGCGTAGGATGTAGCACTGCGGGAGGCAGTTGAAACACACCGCACCCTCGACTAACTCCTTCTCATAATTTTCAATAAATTAAGTCAATACTTTCAAATTTCTCTTACATTTAGAAAAAATGTTGTCTTCAACATTCCATATTGCGTACGGGTCTCTCAAATTTGGATTGCATGTTACCTCTTGTTGCTCATATGCCCTATAAAAAAAAAAAAAAAAAAAAAAAAAAAAATATATATATATATATATATATATATATATATATATATATATATATATATTTAAACTTAACTATTTAATTGGGAATAAGGTCACTTAATTTATTATTTAATAAACTATTGAATGTTCATTTCTTCTGTTTATTGATGTTTCGATCCCGGTATTTTCTTTTTATTAGTCAACCATGGGATCCTCTTCAAAGCTAGAATTTTAAAAAATAGAGCTTCGATCAGGCCAGCGACACACCGACAGTCTCAGCACCGTCCACTAGCACATATATTAAGCTACTCATACCGGAAGTAGCTTAGTGTGCTAGTGGACGGTGCTGAGACTGTCGGTGTGTCCCTGACCTGATCGAAGCTCTATTTTTTAAAATTCTAGCTTTGAAGAGGATCCCATGGTTGACTAATAAAAAGAAAATACCGAGAAACATCAATAAACAGAAGAAATGAACATTCAATAGTTTATTAAATAATAATTAAGTGACCTTATTCCCAATTAAATAGTTAAGTTTAAATTTAATACTCAGAGGTCGATTAGGGAAAAATTGTATATGTACATATATATATACATATATATATATATATATATATATATATATATATATATATATATATATATATATATATATATATATATATATATATATCATAACTAGCATTTCAAACTCATTCTTCATATTTAAAAAGGTCATTGTAAAAAAACACACTTTCAAGAAAACTTACCATGTTGGAAGTTGTTTTCCTGTGGTTGTTAAAACACAGTGTTTTAAATAATGGACCAATTTCAACTGGGCAGTTACAGTAGTCACAATATCACCATCTTTTCCATTAACTATTTGTATTTTCCATATGTCATTTGGATCACCAGTTCCATTCTAATAAATAAATAAACAAATACTTTAAAGTAAAATAGCTGATATTTTATATCATAATGAGAATAAAACTGAAATAAGTAACAGAAATTCCAATTAGATTATTTTTTTTTAAGGAATAATTAAGTAGACAAATAATTATAGCAAACATGTCTATTTCTAAAAATAATTTAAGGAACATAATAAACTTCATCCAATCTGGCATCTTCTATGATCTGGTATGCTTGACTTTAAAATGAATTTTAAAAACAAAATAAATTCATAAATTGAAAAATATCATAGATGCTTAGCTGAAGTATATTTCCTATCCTATAGGTAGAAAAAAGTTGATTGGCGTGTGTGGAGGGTAGGTCAATCATCAAATATAAAAAGGAGTATATATACATCTTCGGCAAGGTTTAATTAAAATTTTCATAACTTAAAGTAAAAAATGTACTTTGTGTTTCATAATCTAATTATAAAATAATTTATAATTATTTTACGTTACTATGTTTTTTTTATTCTAATAATGCAATTTAGAGAATAAAAACAAGTTTTACTATAATTATTTTCTTTGTAAAATTTAAGTCCTGTAATCTGGAACATTTTCTAATCCAGCATGACTCAACTTCTGAATGTCCAGATAAAAAAAAAATAACAATACAAATAATACAACTGGTATTCAATGGGAAATTATTCAGGCAAGGGTCTCTTACTCCTTTTTTGCTAAATCCTACTAGTTACCTAGAGATTACCATCCTAACCCAACCAGGATGGAAGTATCAAGATTTATTTCATGAAACCACAATGAGATAAATATTAACTGACCAAAGAGGGAATCAAACACACATTGTTCTGAACAAGGCTCTCTGGGGTCCAATCAACTAAAGTTGTAAAACTATATTATTAATGATTCATATAAAAAAAAAATCTCATGCAATTAATATAACACATTAAGAAAATAACTAACTTCCCCATAGCCGGTGACTTGAAGATGTTTTTTAGTTATCGGTGCTGGTTCTTTATGTGAATGTAAATTTCTCCCAGTAGGAACATGCTCTAGACGAACTAAGTCACCATGATGAACTAATTCTATAGTATCAACATCTAATTCATCATCATATGGTTTTATGATCCACCTATTATTTTCATCTTTATGTGTATATGTAGTAACCTAAAAAAAAAAAGTTAATATGAATAAGGTGGAAATAATTTTAAAACACAGGATAAACAACTTTTTATGACACAAACATTTTATCTTTCAACAAACACTAAAATAGGAATGTTATTGACAAGTTCAAATAACTTTCATGTTGATCAAGTGATATTATACTTAGCAGGCTAGCTATAAAGGCATTTTAAATATATAATTGCAGAATGGACATCAATAATGGACTCAGTTAGACAATTTCAGCCAAGTTAACTGCCATTTCTAAGCTAAAGGGATAAAATGGAAAATCATTAATATTATGACATTTATCCAACTTTTTAAGCTATTGGAAATGATGTTTAGGTAATAGCCCAAATAATTTTTTTGGTTTTGCACCTAGCATAATTGATGTGCAATACTTAATTCTCTTTTTTAAAAAGTTAATAATTTATTGATACTCACATTTATATAAAAAATAAAATAAGTTCTTGAATGTTTTGTCTCCTTAAAATGACATGATCTTCTTCTTCTTCTTTAATGGTGCGACAGACGCATGAAGTGGTCCTTGGCCTGCTCGATCATTTTGCCCCAAACAATCCTATATGCTCATACCCACTTGTCGTATGTCTGTGAGGATACCATCCTGCCAGCGTGATCTGGGTCTTGTACCATCTAGCATGTTTCTGTATGCTTTTAGAGGGCACCTATAGTCTTCCATCTGTATGAAATGACCAATCCATTTTATTCTCTGCAACCTAGCTAAGTTGGAGATACTCAAATCCTGTTATTCACCGTACAACTCCGCATTCCGGCACTGACGTCAAGCTTTGTTTTCTTTTACTGGTCCAAAGATGCGTCTCCGGATCTTCCTCTCGAAATGATCAAGACTTTGCGCAACTGATTTGTTGAGCATTTATATTTCATATGGGTAAGTTGCTATTGTCATTATGAGAAATTTGTAAAGCCTTATTACTTTCAATATAGGACAGTATTACAATCGTGAAAATATTCGAATCTGAGTTTTCAACATATATATATGTTTTGAGGTATCCTGAGTCCAAATAACCAAGTCCCGGAAAATGGTCTGTTTGTGTGCGCACGTGTGTCTATATGTGACAGGTCTAGCTTAAGAACAAAAAGTCGTATGAGGGTTAAATTGCATATTTAAGGTTTTTATATATTTGAGATGTTACAGAAACTTTTTTGTCAAAATCAGCTAATCGGAAGTGGCACTTTATACCATCGATGAAACACATTTTTACTATTTTCTCAAAAATCGCTTTAACAATTTTGATTAAATTCATTATATCAGTGTAAAATTAACCAGTTTTTAATATTATGTAAGTTTTATTTTCATTGATGTTCTTTAACAGGGCTTAAATGGCTAATTTTCAATATTAGCTTCCTCTTAAGTACCTTTAATTTTTTTTTTTTTAAACAATTAACCATTTCATATTGATCTTTAATATTAAAAATGGTTAAATATAAAATATGAAAGAATTTGATAATTAACTAAAGAAGAAATATGAGATCGTAACAGAGAATAGTGGTAATGAAGGAACCAAAGTGCGGCCGAGCTCACCCGAGCTGGCTCGAACATTAAAACAGGCTTCCATACGCAACATGAGCATAATAAAATACGGAATCCGCCAATATTATGTACATATACATATGCGGTTTTCCTAATTGTTTTCGTTGGTATTATTTAATATTTAATTGTATAGATTACAGCGATATAAATATTAAAATTTGTATATATATATATATATATATATATATATATATATATATATATATATATATATATATAAGGGTACTTAAACAAATAAAAATATCTACAATGAAATATAAATCAATATAGCATTTATAATTTTTTCTTACACTTCCCTTTTGTCTGAAAATACTTATTTCTGATAAGAAGAGGGTGGTAAGTGAAAGTTGCGTGATGTGCCCACCGCAACTTTGTTGCACCAGATTTTTTTTCATAGTGCAACTAAGTAGACTGCTGCTAATCAGCATCTTCTTTCAGCTTTCTCTTCCATCTTGTCTGCTATTGTAGCTCCCAGGTATTGGAAGCATGGAACTACATCAAAAGCATTTTCTCCGAATCTAACTTGTTGTGGGGCCACATCATGTTTCTTAATGCACATCATTTTGGTTTTATTTTTATTCACTTTTAGTCCCATATATTTCGCTTCTTGCTGAATTCTTGCAGAACGCTTCCTCCACAGAGGCTTGTGATCTCCCAATAATTGCTATATCATCTGTATATAGCTGTAAATATATCTGTCCTTCCTGCCTAGCGACCTATTATCAGCCACAGAAAAACTTCAAGAAGACTTGGATAGGATTTGTGACTGGGCAAGAGCTAACAAGTTGAAGTTGAATGCAGAAAAGACAATGGCAATCTTAATAGGCTCCAATCACCTCCTTAAAACTGTTCCTAATATTCCAACTCTATTTCTACATGATAATCCCATCAAATTGTATCCCTCTATCAAAAACCTTGAAATGATCTTTGATCAAAAACTTTCCTGGAAAAATCATATATCGAACATCTCCCGCCGTACCATTTCCACTTTAAAACGTCTAAATTACTCCCGTCACCTATTTCCCCTTGAAACCGTAGACTCCTATTAACTTCCTTAATTTTTCCCCACTTTAACTATTGCTGTACTGTATATGGGGGCGTCTCTGGAGATCTTGAGGCGAAATTAAAACGTTTGATAAATTGCTTTGTACGATTCATCTTCGGGATCCCAGGGGACGCTCTGTTTCCCGTTTTTATGCAGAGTTGAAGTGGCTTTATCCTTCCTACCGTCACAAGTATTTCCTGGCATCCTTCTTCTTTCAAGTCATCCAATCCCACTGTCCTTCATACATCGCCGAGCTCCTTCAATTCAAATCCTCCGTTTGTTCCCGCAATACTCATTCCTGGTCTTTTGACTTGTACATAAGGGCCCACCGAATCGCTGCTTTCGACAGATCGTTTATTATCCGATCCTCATCCCTATGGAACTCCATCCCTCCCCACATCTGTCAATCCAAAACCCTTCCTACTTTTAAATCCCACCTGTTCAATCAATTCTTATCCATCTAATCTCCATGAAATTGCAAATAGTTAATACAGTAAATATGTAAATAAATAATTATATCGTTTTTCATTACTTTTAATTTCATGTTTATTTTCAATTTTTTATTTTTTATTATTAACTGATCTGAATCAGTAAGTAACTTATATTTTTTTCTATTATTTTGACTATTTAATTACTCTATATTTTTGTTTATGTATCTCTAAGGCTCCTTAGCCCACATTATAGTCTTTCTGTATTATTCTAAAGGGACTCGTCCCAGAATAAATAAAGCATTATTATTATTATTATTATTATTTTATTTGTAAACACTTTTACAAAAGGTTTTTTGTTTACTTGAGAGGGGGAGAATCAACTCCAACCACCTCAGGTATGTTCTATTTTAATTTCTATTGAATGCTGAGAAAGCTTCTTAAAATTCTGGCAGTATTCAACAGCACAGTTTTCTGAGCTTCATTTATTACATGAGTTGGGAGATACAGCCTGTCAGTAGCTTCCACAGTAGACACCGGTATCAGGCCATTGCTGGAGATCACAATGCCCCTAACAGTTACTTTATTAAGTTTATACAAACTTTTTAACTCCAGAAAGATGTTCTTTTTTTTTGGATCACGAGATGGTCTGTTATAAACGATTAATTCCAATATAATTTTAAGCCATCTTTCTGGCAGAGACCTTTAGGGCAGTATTTATAGTACGGCATCGTTTAATCGTTTAATAATTTAATTTTTTGACCAATTGCCTGGTGATAGAATTTGGCAACATCGTCATGTCTTTTTAGGTATTCTGTACCCGCAAGAGCTCCGCAGCCTCCAGTTATATGCTGAATGGATTCATATGTGCTTGCACAGAGCCTACATTTGTCCGATACATTCTGTTGCTTCAAAACGTGTCATCCAGTAGGATCTGGTAGCTATAACCAGGTCCTGGATTGTAGTTAAAAAACCTTCAGTCTCGGAGAACAGACTTCCTCCAACCAGCCAGCTAACAGACAAAGATTTATCTATTTCAGTCTGCTGAAGCTGGTGAAAAAATCTCCCCCCCCCCCTCCCCCGTCCCTTCATATTTGTTCTTATTAACCTATCCAATTCCTGGAGTGACGTTGTGGACCATTTTAGAATTCCAAAGCTGTAAGATAAGGAAGGAATAACCCACGTATTTATAGCTGTTATCATTAATCCTGAAGAAAGATGTGTTCTAAGGATAATCTTTAGTATTTTTTTAAATGAAGCTATCAATTTACATTTTACATCCTTTCTAGCTATTTTTAAATGCTATTCTATCCCTAGATATTTATACATATCTTCTTTCTGAAGGTTCTAAATATGATATTCTTCATTAAACAAGTTTTCGGAATTATTTGGTTTTCCTTTTATAATGTGAAGAACTGCGCATTTCTTAGTCCCAAGTGCTATGTATTGTAAAGACCGTCGGTGGAATGATTAGTTTAAAGGTATAAACAAATAAACATTAAGGTAATTTAGGTATTACCTAAATATAAACATATTTAGGTATAAACCCAACATCTGGCGGTTGGGTACCTGAAGGAGGGTAACCCATTAGGACAACCTTTTGTAAGTGGTAATAAAAACCCTTAAGGACCACCGACAAAGACCGACAACTAAGTGTTTAAAAAGGATCCCAAAAGACCTTTTCACACCTTCCACCAGAATTACCTAATTCTGTACCTGCTGCTTTACCTTGGCCTGGGGGAGAGGGCGTGGTCATCCCTTAGGCTGAGCCAATATTCAGCCAATCAGGAAAAAGGCTGCCAAAAGAGAGGGGGATGAAAAAAGGTGGGAGATAGAGAATTTGGACTAGACACTTCTTTTTGGAAAGGAGAGAAAAAAGGACTTCTTTTTGGAACTCGGAGGAGAGAGGACTTGCTCTGGGGACTTCAAGCGGGGGAGTCGAGGGAGGAAGACGAAGACTGCCGGAGAGAGCTGATGGACGGACTAGACGCTGAAGGAGAGCAGAGACAGGGAATCCAGATATGACGGCTAGAAACACTATGAAGGACCAGCTAAGTGGTAACAAGCATTTAGTCATACTAATGTAAATTTGTGTTGGCAACCATACATCATTAATTAATAAAATCAATACACCAAGCATTCTCCTCTAGTCTGATTCTTAACTATTCATTATGTATATAGGTTTAGTTATTATTTTGTATATAGATGTTCTTTAGTTTTATTTAAGCTTGTAAATATAATAGTTAGTAAACCAACGTAGTACTTTTACATTCTACCTTGCATGCCACCAATTAGTAATAGAAACAAATAGTAAATTTATAAACATGATACCTTTAGAAAGGAAATCCAATAAAGAGTATATGGTTCAATCTAGGATACTACAGTAGGGGGTCTGTGGTATCTAACATTTAAATACATCATTAATATATTTTAAGTTGATCGGTTCCCTTCTGGGACCGATATAAACACATATAAATACAAATAAATGCGATTCCTGGAACCCCTTACTCGCCGTAGAAACGCGAGGCCAGGAACATAGCACAAGTGACATCTGTATGGAGTCACTAAAGTGGCTAACTGTCTTTAGCATAGACTGGAGCTGGGATTTATTCTTTGCATAGAGTTTTAAATCGTCCATATAAAAGCTATGGCTGATCATTGCACTTAATTCATTAAATTTTACTTTGTATCCGTTTTCTTCATGATTTAATAAAATTGACAATGGAGCAATCACAAGACAAAACCAAAGGGGGCTGAGGCAGTCTCCCTGGTATATACCTCTTCAAATGGTAATGTATTCAGGTGATTGCTTATCTCCCATCCTCAGTCTTGTTTTCCAGTTGTCCATCAATTTCCTCAGAAGTTCTTTAATATAAGGATGGATTTTATATAAATCTAGAACTTTGAAAAGCCAACTATGAGGAACTCAGGCAAATGCTTTTTTTGTAATCAACCCAGGCTATTGACAAATTTCTTTTATTCATGGTCGTTTGGCCTGCAATGAACGAATCGATGAGCAAAAGTTCTGTACACCCTTGGGCTCCTTTTCTACAGCCAAGTTGCTCAAATGGATGTTAAAATCTTATACACACCGTTGAGGCAAGTAATTGGCCGAAAGTCTTGGGGGTCCAATCGATCTCCTACTTTTTTGGGAATCAGCACAGTAAAGCCCTCACAAAACGTTTTGGGAATGTCTATCTGCCCTGTTATCATTTTCTTATAATTCATTGCAAGTGTTTCATGCAGGCAGGATAGATTTTTTAAGCAGTAATTCTGAATTCTATCACTACCAGGCACTTTCCAGTTTTTCATTTTCTTAGTAGCGATGACTACATCCTCTTTCGAGATGTCGAATTCTGGCATTTGAGGTTTCTACTGAAGTTCAGTATTTACTAATATTAACCATTCTTTTTTATTATTATGCTCTACATTGTGCTCCCAAAGCTCTTTCCAATACTGTATAATATTGTCAGTTAATGAACAATTTGCACCTCCCTTGTTATCATTACCTAAGCTCCGATAAAACTGCTGCTCACTGTTTTTGAACATTTTGTTATGCTGTTTTCGAAGCAACGACTTTTTATACCTTCGTATTCTGTTTGCATAAACCGCAAATTTTTGCTTCAGTATATCACCATGTAAAGCCAGTTTTTTGGTAAGCTCAGATTCTAACACCATCCCTATTTGTAGTACAACTGTTTCGTCGATTTTTCGTTTTACTTTTGTACTTGCTCCAACCGGGTTCCTGATATAACTCGTTATTATTCCAATATCTGCCCTAAGCAAAGCTATTTTATTTTCCAATCTTCTCTGCCAGCGTAGAAGTTTTGTATAATTTTTATCTTTCTTTTTTCCAAGCCAAGTTCAATAATAATGACACTAGCTGCAACATAGGCCCAATGACAAACAGCTTCGACAGTCATTTCTGGGTAATCTACAATAACTCTACTCAGAGCCTCATTAACCTGATTCACAGTCAAACGTGATTTGAAGCTATAGTGAATCTTTGAGAGGATTGGTCTAACATCAAGCGGTATCCTCTCATAAATCACATGCTGGGATAATAATGATTCCATTAGTTTGTCAATGTCTTTGTCTTCTTCTGGAGGAGCTGCCTCTATTGCCATCGATCTTTCTAGAAGAGGTTCTGTTGGCTGCTCTTCATTTTCAATTTGTACCATTCCTAATCGTTCAGATACCATTATTTTGATGTTTTCTGTTTCCACTTCAGATAGAAATTTTCTTGAACAGATCACTCTAACTTGGTCACTTATCCTTTGTGAACTCATAGCCATCTGTGGATATAGTTCTTGCCAATACTGTTGAATTCTTCCTAAGTATCCCGTCTTATCTGTTTCTAATTTTGTTGCAAAAAGATATGCCTGGATGACAGCCTTGTTCATTTCTGGCGTCCATTTCATCCTTCGAGCACCTCTTGGTCTCTGTTGCCGGGTTCGTGCGGGAGGAGAAATAGTCTCGCCCAAGCCTGAACTTGAACTAGTTGCCGGTTATTGCATCCTTCTGGTCCTTTGCGACAGGATGGCGCCACTTGTTCCACCACTTGTGCAGCTTCATTCCCAGGCTCGTCCGAGGCTATACGTCGATTTCTTAACTCCATTTTTGATGGGTGATTGCATTTTAAACCTTTTGCCAGGCCTTCCTAGGTAAGGTTGCCCTAGGGTGTGTACTGCAAATGTCCTTGGTGTCAGTGTATGTGGTATTGTGTGCTGTGATGTATGTGTTTGTGAACGGTGGGATGTACTCAGGAGCCCAGGGGAGCGTAAAACCCCAACAATAGCGTTCCATTGCGGGATTATTATTATTATTTTATTTTTCAACACTTTTACAAAAGGTTTTTTGTTTACTTGAGAGGGGAAGAATCAACTCCAACCATCTCAGGTATGTTCTATTTTAATTTTTATTGGATGTTGAGAAAGGTTCTTACAATTATAGCAGTATTCAACGGCACCGCTTTCTGAGCTTCATTTATTACATGAGTTGGGAGGCCCAGCTTGTTAGTAGCTTCCACAGTAGACACCGGTATTAGGCCATTGCTGGAGATCACAATGCCCCTAACGGTTACTTTATTAAGTTTATAAAAACTTTTTAACTCAGCTGCTAGACCTTGATACTTTTGAATATTTTCTACACAGACTGAGTTAATGTTTCCGTCATTTGGCACAGCAATATCTATAATATCAGCTACCTTAATATTACCGTAAGTTAATACAATATCAGGTCTGTTGTGAGTCACGAGATGGTATGTTATAAACGATTGATTCCAATATAATTTTAAGCCATCTTTCTGGCAGAGACCTTTAGGGCAGTATTTATAGTAGGGCACAGAATCGTTTAATAATTTAATTTTTAGACCAATCGCCTTGTGATAGACTTTGGCAAAATCGTCATGTCTTTTTAGGTATTCTGTACCCGCAAGAGCTCCGCAGCCTCCAGTTATATGTTGAATGGATTCATATGTGCTAGCACAGAGCCCACATTTGTACGATACATTCTGTTGTTTCAAGACGTGTCGCCAGTAGGATCTGGTAGCTATAACCAGGTCCTGGATTGCAGTTAAAAAACCTTCAGTCTCGGGGAACAGACTTCCTCCTACCAGCCAGCTAACGGACAAAGATTTATCTATTTCAGTCTGCTGAAGCTGGTGAAAAAATCTTCCATGTAATGCTTTTGACTTCCACTCTTCCAGTCGGTAATAAAGATTGGCACAGTTTCATGAAAGGCTAATTGTAGAACAGGGTGTCCGAGATAGAGATTGCAGATTATCTTATGGCATGGCACTGCGCTTTGTTTAAAGTACTCCCTTAGGTTCTTTTCTTGACTTCGACAAGATTTCAATATTTGTAAGACCTCTAGCTCCTTCCTTTATTGGCAGGTAAAGCCTTGCCATAGATGCAGTCGGGTGGTGCATTCTGGAACCCGTCATACTTGTTCTTATTAACCTATGCAATTCCTGGAGTGACGTTGTGGATCATTTTAGAATTCCAAAGCTGTAAGATAAGGAAGGAATAACCCACGTATTTATAGCTTTTATCATTAATCCTGAAGAAAGGTATGTTCTAATTATTATTATTATTATCTTTTTTATTCTCACCTTTGCGGATTTAAAGCTGAAGGTGGGAGACAAGTCCAACCACCTGCAGTTATAATATTTTAGATATTTAAAAATTTTCTTGTTATTCTCGCTGTATCCAAGAGAACAGCTTGCTGAGCCTCTCTCAACACATCAAGGGGTGATTCCAAGCCATCCGTACCTGCCACCGTTGACTTTGGGATCAGACCATTGGTTGATATTATTATTGGTGTAACTAATACGCTCTCCAAATGGTACAACTCCTTTAATTCGATCGCCAGTTCTTGGTACTTACGGAGCTTCTCTCCCACGGTCGTGCTTATGTTGTTATCGTTTGGAATCGCGATATCAAGTCTGTTGTGACGCACTGTATGATCCATTATTATAGATTCGTCCCAATACATCTTGAGGGAACCCTTCTGAAGCAGCCTTATCGGATTATATTTGTAATATGGCACCTTTTCATCCAACAGGTTAAGTTTCACAGCCACAGTCTGGAGGAATATTTTTGCCACATTTTTGTGCCTCTGCAGATACTCCGTACCAGCGAGTACTCAACATCCAGCTGTGATATGTTGGATTTATTCGTACGTCATTGAACAAAGTCGACATTTATCAGATGTTGTACTGTCTTTTAGAACGTGCCTCCTATATGACCTGGTGGCAATGACCTGATCTTGAATGGCGACTACAAAGCCTTCTGTTTCAGATTATAGCCTTCCTGTCACTAACCATTCCACAGATTTTTCTTTGTCTATGGAGGCTTCATTCAATTGGCTGTAATATCTGCCATGTAGCGCCTTGCTTTTCCATTCTGACAGCCTTTCATTTTTGGACACAACTGTGAAATCTTCGGCTTTGTTCAAATTGAGTGCCGTTAGACCTGAATCCATATTGGTTATAGTAAGGTTAATCCCTGTAGTTTTCGAAAGAAAATATCGTCGTAGCGCCAGCTCTTGCTTTCGACATGCTTCCTCTATATTTAGAAGTCCGCGACCTCCTTCCTTTCTAGATAAATACAGGCGGGCTTTGGAGGATGTTGGATGGTGAGACATCTCTTGTGTGAGTGTCGTTACTACTAGACGATCAATCTCCTGTAGACTGGTATTGGACCACTGTACTATACCAAAGCTATAGCTCAGAGCTGGTATGACCCAGCTGTTAATGGCCTTAATTTTGTGCTTCCCAGATAACTGAGTCCTGAGTACTTGTCGCAATCTCTTTCTGAACACTGCCAGAAGCTGTTGTTGCACGTCCCTTCGGGCAATTTTAAGGTTTTGTTGCATGCCTAAATATTTATATAATTGGAGTGCTTCTAGGTCTTTAATGTGATCTTTTTCGTTTATCAGGATGTTCTGGGTATTAACCTTTCTTCCCTTTTTTACATGAAGCACCGTGCATTTATCAAGTCCGAATGACATACCTAAATCACTGGTAAAGGATGATACTGTTTCAACCATGTTCTGTAATTGCTGTTAATTTTTTGCATACAGTTTGAGGTCATCCATATACCAACTATGTCTGAGTGTGGTATCATCATCTTTGATGTTAAGTTTGTAGCCCACCTTGCCCCTTTTGAGTATCTGGCTTAATGGGAACAGTGCCATACAAAACAACAGAGGGCTAAGGCAATCTCCTTGATAGATGCCTCTAAGAATTTTAATTTGATTGTTAGTGCGGATTGCTCCTATATTCAGCGTGGTAACCCAGTCCGTCATTAAATTTGAAAGAAGTTCGCTTATTTTAGGTTGAACCTTGTATATTTCCAATACTTAGAGCAGCCAACTGTGTGGTACAGAATCGAAAGCTTTTTTATAATCGATCCACGCAACAGAAAGATTTCGCTGGCTTTTTGATACTTGCACAGCAATAAATGAATCTATTACTAAAAGTTCTTTGCTGCCCCTAGCCCTTTTCTTGCATCCTAACTGTTCGGTGGGTATCATGCTCTGAGATTCCAAGTGTTCATAAATCTTTGTTGCCAAGATGGAGGTCAGAATCTTATAAAGACCAATTAAATATGTTACTGGGCGGAAATCCTCAGAACGTAAGTTTGAGTCATCCTTTTTCAGAAGAATATACGTGATCCCATCAGAGAAACCTGTAGGAGGACTCTGTTTGCCATCCAGTATATCTTGATAACTATTGGCCAACAATTCATACAAGCACCTAAATCGTTTAATCCAAAAATTTTGGACTCTATCTGGACCAGGTGTTCTCCAGTTTTTCATTTTCCTAACTGCTTCCGTAACATCATGTGTTGTAATTGTTACCTCTTGCATCTCAGAAGCACATTGAAAATGGGAAATTTCTTCCGTTATCCAAGGGGTGTTCTCTTCGGGATTCATTGATTTTTACCATACATTTTTCCAGTACGCTTCAATGTCTTCAGGATAATTATTCAGTGTTTTCACCTTTTGTCTAAGGTTCCTATAAAACTGGCATTCATTTTGTTGGAACATGTGATTCTGCTGCCTCTGTAAAGCTGCTTCACTATATCTATACAATCTGTTTGCAAAAACTACTAATTTCTGTTTTAGGTTATCCAGATATAGCGTCAGTCTATCGGTCAATTCATTTTCCATAACTGTACCCAAGTTTTGGACTATGATTTCATCTATCTTTTTCTTTGTCCTGGCTCTTGTAGTTTGTGGATTACGAATATAATTTGAAATGATGCTGATTTTCTCCCTTAAGGTGTTAATTTTCTTTTGAAGTCTTTTTTTCCATTGTGGAATTCCTTTACTACCCACTGGAAGTTTTATTTTGTCTTCTATTTTTATACCAAGCTCCATTATAACTGACTTGGCAGCAATATACATCCAATGAGAAATATCTTTGAGGCCATCAATTAAGTCCAAGTGATCTTTAAGAACATTATTCATTGCATTAGTTATTCTCAGCGTGGTCTTGTTATATGGCACTCGTGGTAATGATGGTCGTTCCAAAAGCGGAATTCCCTCAAGCAGAATATGCTCCGTTAGAATTGCTTCACTCAGTCTGTTTTCAAGATCTTGGTCTGTTTCCATATCTTTTTGCTTCTCTATAGAGCTGTTTGGTGCACTGATGCTTCTAGACATGGTTTCCGCATTTGTCATTGTATTAATCATTCTATCCGACATTTCGGCATTGTTTTCAGTAACTATAAACTTGTGAGCTTCCTCTCTGGGAGGTCAGAGGGGGTAAGAAAATTTCTTCCTAGAATCACCCTAACCTGGTCACTCAGCCTCTGCGTGCTTATATTAACTTTTGGAAACTTCTCACGCCAGTATCTCTGTATACGGTTAAGATATCCTGTTTTTTCAGTTTCAAGATTTGTTGCAAAGTAGTATGCCCGGATGACAGCCTTGTTCATATCTGGCGTCCATTTCATCCTCTTTGCACCTCTTGGTCTCTGTTGCCGAATTCGCGCGGGTGGAGAATGTCTCTCCTCCAAGCTCGAACTCGAACTGTTGGCCGGTAAACGTTGCAGCCTTGCGGTCCGTGACGACAGGGTAGCGCCGCTCGCTCCACTAGTCCCTGAAGGAAGCTGTCCACTGTTCCCGCTCAATGCAGCCTCATTATCGGGCTCGTCCGAGGCTAATCTTCTATTTCTTAGTTCCATATTTAATGGGTAGTTGCATTTTATACCTTCCTGCCAGGTTGTTTAAACAGCCGCCCCTGACTTGGGGAACAAACGCTGACCAGGTTGCCGCCCATTATTATTATTATTATTCATAATTGGTAATTGGTTGACTGTCGTGGATAATGAAGAGAAGAATAGTTGGGGTGCTCAGTCAAAAAAGGAAGGCAAAAAATAAATTATAATATTTATTTTTTACATATGCCGACGTTTCGACCTGAAGTTCAGGCCATCATCAGGGCTTTCTCCTTAAGTGTCAAGGTGAGAAAGCCTTCTCACCTTGACACTTAAGGAGAAAGCCCTGATGATGGCCTGAACTTCAGGTCGAAACGTCGGCATATGTAAAAAATAAATATTATAATTTATTTTTTGCCTTCCTTTTTTGACTGAGCACCCCAACTATTCTTCTCTTCTTTATTATTATTATTATTATTATATGCTAGGATTTGTACCATTCTCGTAAATATTGTATTGCCATGGTTCAGTCCTGTCTTGCTAACAATTCTATGTAGTACTAGATTACATAGTAGTAGTGTTGCCAGTGTGTCACTATGTCTCAACCCTGTGTTCACATTAAACTACTCTTTTCGCTTATCCAGACTTGGCATATATTGTTTTCCATGGTACACCTGGTTAGTCCAATGAGTTTTCTAGGGATACCCACTTCTTTCATTGCACTGTAGAGTTTCTCTCTAATTACAGTCATAAGCTGCCTCAAAGTCCACAAATAGTATCCACAGGAAGTGGCCGAATTCATACATCTTTTCACCCAGTCGTTTAAGGGTGAAAATTTCACCTATTGCAGACATATTCTTATGAAAATCTACTTGTAATCACCAATTGTGCTTTCTATGTAGGGTATTAGCCTGTTACATAGAGCAATAGCAAATATTTTATACGTGACATTGAGGAGACTGATTCCTCTATTAGCTACAAATAAGAGATGAAGGGAGTAAGAACAGATTTGAAAGACATGCAAGACGATTTATCTAAATCAAATTCTAACACTGAAGCCATAAGGTGTGAAATAAAAGGCAACCTCTCATGTCTCTATTCTAAACTAAGCAGTATGGAGTAGAAAGTTATAAAGTACTGAAAAAGAAATTCGAACTCTAGCTGAAGAAAAAGATAGCCAGACAAAAAAAAATCTAATTGTAGATAAGATCAGTAATGGTTTCTACTCAAATTTTAATTTAATGAGCATTTGTTGCCAACAGCATTCATTATTGACAGGTTTTAGCAGCTCATTATAGATCACATCCTTGAGACCCCACCAATCACACAGCATTGTCTTCTTTCCTTAGAAACTAATCCTTGCGATCGATATTGATGGTTCGCCCCAATCTATGCTTAGAATTCTCAAAATATATCCGCTTTTCATTACCTGTCACAATTTAATGGAGAAACAAATGACTTTCTTTTGGGCTTAGCGAGCAGCATTTTGGAGGTGGTTTTCTTTTTTTTTTTTTATCTGTCTTTCATTTAGTTCATGTGGAACCTATTTTCCCATCTTCTAAATGTTTCCCATTGCTTTTAAACATAAGGAGACACCTGCCCCTGTTACTATCAATTGATTGTTAAGATGATGAGTTTAAGAGTCATCCTCGTTTAATAATTTAATAATTTTCGGTGGTCTTCCGCATTCTTTATTTCTCACATCAAAATCATCCTTTTGAATTGTTTAAACAACTCAAAGCAATGTGATTAACCAGGAGCATGTTCACCACAAACAAACTAAGTGTGAAAATTATAGAGGTACAGCCCTTTTTTCTTGTGCATATAAAGTGCTCTAAAATGTACTTTTTGAAAAGCTAACCACATTTTCAGAAAAAGACCTAGGTAATTAGAGTGGGTTTACAAAGGGAAGATCAACTACAGGCCAGCTTTTTAATGATTTAAAGGTGGCATATGACAGTGTGTATAGGAGAAATAATATAAATCCATGAAAGATTCAAACAATCTGAGGAAATTAACATTTCTCCTCAAGATAACAATTGAGAATTCTAAGTATGCAGTATGTGTTGGTACAAACATCTTTGAATCTTTTGGCACCAACAGTGGAATTAGGCAGGGGGATGCAATTGCCCGACTCCTTTCCAATTTGGCAGCTGAATTGTAACATCATCAGGAATTCAAACTACAGGACAATATTTTCAGCTTATTTCAGCTTCTGGGCTATGCAGATGACTTTGACATCATAGGCAGATCAGAGAGTCTGGCTCTGGCCGTGTATGCTGTTAGTTTGCGTCTGTGTTCATTGTCAAGTCTATTTAGTTAAACTTAATCTACAAACCTGATTTTTTATACACTTCAGAGATTCGTACCAAAGAGTGTTTCTACAAATTTTGGTTGTGTTCTAAAAAGTGTAAGAACAACTGTAAAGGGATGTATGAAAAGGCATTTCTCTGGAAGTTTGCAGCCTTATCTCTAAAATCTGCCAGAAATCTGCCCCCTCCTCTCTCACTGCCTTATCATCGTTATTTATGTCAACTGGGACGCTTCGTCAAAGCAACTTTTCATTTATCTATTTTATTACTTTTTTTTTATCCTATATTACTAAAGTTCCCTAGTGTTTTAACTACCTTTGTACAACAGTTGTGTACAACTCACAGAGTAACACGGCTGGCTTTTGCTCGAGAACACAGCCATTGGACTATGGACGAATGGAGTGCTGTACTTTTTACAGATGAGTCAAGATTCGTTCTTCGATCTTCCAGACGGGCGTGAAAGGGTGTGGAGAAGAAGAAACGAAAGATATGCAGCCTGTAATTTTTCCCAGAGCCAACTTTTCCGTGGTTCCTTAATGGTGTGGGCTGGAATTTCAATGGAGCGCCGCACAGAATTGGTTGTGGTTCGTGGAGGGTCTTTGACAGCCATTCGCTATGTTGATGAGATTTTGGAACCTCATGTGTTGCCTATCTTAAACGAAATCGACGATCGTTCTATTCTAATGCACGCCCCCATGTCACCCGCATAGTGCAGACGTTCCTTCAACAGAACAATATTGAGGTTTTAGCTTGGCAAGCACGTTCTCCAGATTTGAACCCCATTGAGCATTTATGGAATAACCTCGGAAGACGAATAAGAGCGCGTGCAACACTTCCTGATACACTGCAGGACCTTGAAAGGGCTCTTCAGGAGAAATGGGCTATCCTCCAGCAAAGGGACATTTCCCAACTGGTGGAAAGTATGCCGAGGCGTCTTCAAGAAGTAGTGAAGGCAAGAGGAGGAAACACGCGCTACTAAATGATGATGTAATTAATTTCTTTTAGAATAATAATAGTTCGCTTTGGAATCTTGGAAACATTGGAATCTAGAATCATTTGTCAAATTATCAATTATTATCACTTGTCAAAATAAATTGTTTTATTATACCGGAGTGAATAGTCCTTTTATTTAGTTGTCCTATAGGCCTCACAATTGAAGAATAAACCAGGTGAGTCAATTCAAAGTGTTTACTAAGTCCCACATTTCATATATATGTATTCTTATTGTTTCTTCTCACTCAATGTCATAAAAGGTAATAGATCCCCGAATTCCCAATCACAGTTAAACACCCTCAAAAAGTCGATATCCAGTGCTGGGGTTTTGTTTTAAAGATTCACGAGTGTAAATAACCTTAAACCCCGATATAAAAGCGGAAGGCTATGCGCCTATTCCCGCCAAAACGAATCATTTACATTTAACTTCCTGTAGGTTATTTACAACTAAGAGACATTTTTAAACTTAATATTGAAAAAATTGAAAGCCGGAGACTAAGAAATGTGCTGCAAGAAACGGCACTGAACTAATGATACTGAATAAACATTTTGATTCCATAGAAAGTAAACATTGGAATCTAGAATCATTTCATTGAATTAAGGATTAAGGGTTATTGTCCTCTATATTAACATTCCTAATTGAAAACAAACAAAAAGATTACCTATTTATTCATTAAAAACAATAGACCAATACAAAGCAGAAATATTTTTAGATGAAAACATGAAAAAATCAAGTGGGTGGAATTTTTTGCCTGTCAGTGTATATATATATATATAATTCTTATTTTATATCTCTTATGCCGGGATAATGCAATATTGAGATCCTGTTGCTCATCTTCTGTCATTATATATCTTTATAATAATATTTTGTATGTTTTAGCTGTTTATGTTTTAACATAAAAAGTCAATACTTCTTATTTACTTACTTTTGATATTTCTTGAGGTTTTGCTTTTTCTTTCTATACATGTAATTCATTTTTTTGTTCTTTTTTCCAGTACGATTATAAGTATAGTTGAGAAGATTTTATTTTATTTTTTAGTTGTTTACATACTAATAAATAATCTTCATTAAGTTAGTTTTTGGCCAGACATGTATTTTTCTTTTTTAACAGTTCATTATTGTTATTTTAAGGGGACATTGTCCCAGAATAAAGTTTATTTTCCATTTTTATTTCTATTTCTACAAAATAATTGTCAG